CAGTGCAAGTTTTAGAAAAAATAACATCCATGGATTTTCTGGAAAGTATCCAGCTATTTTGAAGATCTTCACTTCTTCATGTTACATAAAAATGTTTGGAGAAAAATCCATGGGTTGTCTGGAAAGTATCCAGCTATTTTGAATATAACCAATTCTCATTCTTTATATTACATGCAAGATTTTGGGAGGGAAATCCATAGATTGTCTAGAAAGTATCCAGCTATTTTGAATATTTCCACTACTATTCTTCATGTTACATGCCAGAATTGGAGGGAAAAATCCATGGGTTGTCTGGAAAGTATCCAACTATTTTGAATATCTCCAATTCTCATTCTTTATATTACATGCAAGATTTTGGGAGGGAAATCCATAGATTGTCTAGAAAGTATCCAGCTATTTTGAATATTTCCACTACTATTCTTCATGTTACCTGCCAGAATTGGAGGGGAAAATCCATGGGTTGTCTGGAAAGTATCCAACTATTTTGAATATCTCCAATTCTCATTCTTTATATTACATGCAAGATTTTGGGAGGGAAATCCATAGATTGTCTAGAAAGTATCCAGCTATTTTGAATATTTCCACTACTATTCTTCATGTTACCTGCCAGAATTGGAGGGGAAAATCCATAGGTTGTCTGGAAAGTATCCAACTATTTTGAAAATTCTCATTCCATGCTATTTTGAATATCCCTAGTTACTATTCTTCATGTGCAGAATTGAGGAAAATCCATGGGTTGCAAGAATTTGGGGGAAAATCTATGGATTGTCTGGAAAGTATCCAGCTATTTTGAATAGCTCCAGTTACCATTCTTCACGTTAAGTGCAAGATTTAGTGTGTGTGTGTGTGCAGGGGGAATCCAAGGATTGTCTGGAAAGTATCCTGCTATTGTGAATATTTCCACTTACCATTTTTCATGTTACATGCGAGATTTTTGGGGAAAATCCATGGATTGTCTGGAAAGTGTCCAGCTATTGTCAATATTTCCAATTCTCATTCTTTATGTTAGATACAAGATTTTGGGGAAAAAAATATCATGGATTGTCTGAAAAGTATCCAACTATTTTGAATATCTTCACTTCCTATTATTCATATTACATGCACGATTTAGGGGAAAAATCCCCTGCCCCATCTATTGTACCCTATCTTACAGTCCAGATCTGAGTTCCTAAGACATTTTTTAAAAACTGAAACTAGCATTAAAAGAATTAAGGTTTTAGATGATAAATGAGATGAAAAATAATATGCAGCAACTGATGGCAAACATGAAAGGGGAGATTTACATTATTTATATTGTTTGGACTGTTGTTCTTATCTTTATTGGAATATCCATGATGTTTTGGGCATTGTACACTCCAGCCTTCTTCAGGTGATATATGTTGGAATTTTGAACTGAACCCTTTATTTAGTCCATGGGTGTAGATTGTTCTAGTTCCACATGTCATGCCTTTTCTGGATTCATTTAATTACAATACCTCATTTCAGAAATATAGACAGATACTGAAAGGAAATGTTGCTCATTGTTTTGAAAAGTTGAAGAGATTTTTTGGAGAATTGGTCCCAAAAGAAATAATCTTAAAGAAGAATATAGTACCATTATCCCAGCAGAACTAGTATGATATTAATATTAAATGGCTGGATCGTTTTCAGATATACCATGTATAATCCACCTTTTCTTTGTAGACATGCTTATAAAAAGATTTATGAAAAATTACCTATTGTTGCAATGGTCTGTTAAGCTTACATAATATCTTTTCTTATTTACCAAGATCCAAAGCAAGTAATTTAAAAAGAAGTGAAAACATAAAAGATTGAGTCATTTCTTCGACAATAATATATCATTTCTTCTAAGAATTATTTCTATTACAGACCTTATTCTTCTTGCTGCTTTCTTCCTCTGACTTTGTGTATACTTTTAAAATAGTGTACACCTGAAGAAGGCTTAAAAATAAATTAGACAAACCATAACAGCAAAAGCAATACCAAGAATAAGTTCAGTAGTTTATAAAGCAACAGAAATGTGTTTCTACAGAAAGATGCTGAGAATACCATCAACTAAACATGTGAATAATGATGAACATTTAAAGAAAATGGAAACAAAAAGAACATATATATTTAACATCATAAAGAGATAGTTATTTATAGGGCACATAATGAGGAAAGAGGGCTTGGAGAATTTGATACTCATAGGACATACTGAAGGCAAGAACAGAGTAAAGCAGCAAATAACCTACCTAACAAGCTAGTGTAAATGGGTGGCAGAATAGGGTTTAGGAGAGATAGCAAAAAGACAAAATTTACTAAGAACTATGAAGAACAGGAAATTGTGGAGAGCCATGACCACTAATTTACTGAAGGGACATGGCACATCGAAGAATCAGCCAATACTTAGTTTTAAACTATGTTTAGCTTTGTCCCTCTTTAAGCTAAAAGAGATGCTATAATGAAATCAGGAAGATTGTATAGCATCTGCTGTTTTAACTGGGCTCAAACAGCAAGTCAGTGAGAAGAATGTAATTGTCACATAGAAGGAGAAGACGTTTATGCAGTTTTTGGAATAATAATGATTCTTTTTTAAATTTAGCTGTAACTCCTTAGAGTTGTAAGAGCATCACATGTACTGCAGACATTACAATAGTGGTGTGTCTAGGGCAAGATACTTTGATATAACTTCTCTCTCTTCAGACTGGTTCTGATTTCAGAGTTTTCCTTTTCCTAGACTAGTTGTCACATCAAGGCAAGAGATTCCAGTCTGCCTCTGCTGTTTAACCCATACATGGAGGATGATAAATTTTTATCTTATAAAAAGTGCATTAACATGAAGTAAACCAAAGATATTTGAGTGGGAATTGAATTTGATACAGTAAATTAACTTTTCATGATGATAACTATTACACTATTTTACAACCTCTAATTTGGGAGGCATCCCAAATTAGAGGTTGTATTCATAAATCCATTTCCTTTAAATTTGATTATAGAATTATATAAGGTATCTTCCATATGAACACTGTGTTATAGAAGGAATTGGCTGAAACATTGTGGTAACAATGAAAGCTACAAACTGAATGAATAGTTCAAACAAATGCATAGTGCATAGTGCTGAGATTGCTTGCATGATAATTTCTTGCCATGTTGCAATGACATTCTTCAAAGTCATTTACAGTCAGTTGTCCTACTTAAACTAAATAAAATAAAAAATTGAAAAATGGTAGTTTGGTGAAAAGTATTCACATGATTTTTTTAGTATTAATAGATACCTAAATCAAACAAGTACAACAATTTAAATATCTGGGAAGTGTTTTAAAAGAGGACAAAAAGTGCAACACTGAAATCCAAAGACGAAAGATGCCTTCCCAAAAGTTAAGCAAAGAGAAACAGGAAGATTTTGTTAGAAACAAAGAAAAGAATTCTGAACAGTTATGCAATATCAATCCTTCTATATGGTAGTGAATGCTGGACAATCTCCTCACAGATGAAGAAGAGACTTGAAGAAACAGAAATGAAGTTTTACAGAAGGAAGCTGAGAATACCATGGACCAAACATGTGAGCAATGAGAAAGTTTTAGTGAAAATAGAAACAAAAAGAGCTCTTATAATTGACATCAGAAAAAGATAGCTAAAATTTTTAGGACACATAGAGAGGAAAGAGGGCTTGGAAAATTTGATACTCAAGGACATATTGATGGCAAAAGGGAGAGAGGAAAACAATGCATAACCTACCAAGCAAGCTGTGTAAATGGATAGCAAAACAGTGTTTAGGGAAGATTGAATGCAATCATAGACCAACACAAACAACACAACACAAACTACTAAATAAACTATCAGAACTCAATTCAAAATGCAGACATGAAAATAAATTTTTAGTACATTACTTAAAAATTGAAAACTAAAATATAACAAGAATAAAGAATAATAAATAAAAATATAATAAACAAACACAAGAAAAATAAATTAATCTGAACCAATAAATAAGTAAATAAGTTTACAAATTAACAAACCACAAACACACTCAAGCAAATATAATAATAACAGCTACCAATAAAATAATCCATAATAAATAAAAAAGTTAATAAACAACACTATAAATAGCCAAAAAAAAAAAAACTGCTCAGGATCCACAATTATTTCCACTCAATACTGGAAATAATTGTCAATAATCATCAAATAATTTGAAGCATAACTGTTACCACTTACCAAAATAACCATTAGAAATATCAGACTGCCTACAATACATCACTGATCTGTATATATAGTCAAGCAAAAACACAACAGATATAGTCTGATAATTGCATCCAAGCATGAAACAGACTGTTACCTCTGGGTGTTGACTTCAATGTCCACTTTATATATATATATATATATATATATATATGAGAATTTTTGTGCCAGGAACTGATTCATGGCATTAGTAAGTGTTAAAAAAATGTTATTTATTAAATATTCAATAAGACATAAAAGTTTTCAATTATGCAAGTCGGTTACTTGCAGGAATTTACACTTGATACCATCATTATATCCTATTGCAAGACAACTACCAAGAGAATCATCTGAAGCATTGTGTGTTAAAAAAACAGAAAAACTAAATCAAACACATCTTGACTCTTTTCAACATCAGGGACAGGATCCATAAATTTATTTGTTTAAACCATTATTGCACAATTATGGAAAGTATCTCTTGCATGCCATTGCATATCAGAAAATTACAGTTTACTTTGTATTTGAGAATTGATTATTTTGTTTTTTATGGCTTATCAACATTTTTCAGATTATTTAAAGCCAGGAAATATTTTGCGGTTGTAAGAATTTTTTAGAGATAATAATGATTTACTGATACAAGTTCTACTAATTAACTCATAACTGGAGAGGAGAAGAGGTGGATTCATACCTTTCCAAAGGCTATTTGTGTGTAAATGAATATGATAAACCTGACTGGAATTGGGACTTGTCTCTCTGATTTCCAATTCTGAACCATTATTCATAACATCATCTAAATGTCCCACTTACAGTACCTGGTATTCCAAAGTGGTCACCCATGTAGGAACTAATCAGGGTCAATTTTGCTTAACTTTGGTGATCGTATGATAACCGGTGTTTCAACATGTTATAGCTGTAAGCCTTATTTTACTAAAGAAAATCAGTACCATTAACTCATATGCTGGACAATTTCCTCACAGAGGAAAAGGAGACTTGAGGCAACAGAGATGTGGTTCTACAGAAGGATACTGAGAATACCATGAATTGAACATGTGAGCAACAACAATATTTTAGAGAAAATGGAAAAAAAAGGATACTTTTATTTAGAATCACAAAGAGACATTTGAAATTTCTGGGACATATAATAAGGAAAGAGGGCTTAGGAGATTTAACACTCACAGGATATACTGAAGACAAGAAAGGCAGAGGGAAACCTACATAAGAGCTTGTGTAAATGGATGGCAGAACAGAAACTGAAAGGGATAGTAAGATCGTAAATATTGCTTAAAACTACAAAGGGTTGGAAGTTGTGGAGAGTCATGATTGCTCACATCTTTAAGGAACATGGCATATAAAAGAAGAAAAAGTTTGAACTGATACCTTTTTTTTACCATATATTGTAAGCATTTTGCTTAAGTTTTTATTCACTGGATTTCAAATGAAAATTTTTTTAAATATTTCAATGTTTTGTCCTTTAAAAGGCCTTCATCAGTAAATTATAGATTAGATAATTTCCATCTGAATTTCTGGGATGAGGCATTATTATTTACACTACTTACATTCAGACTATTGTTCTCATCTTTGTTGTTGTTATCACAAATTTTCAGTTGTTGTACCCTTTATTTATTTTAAGGGAGTAGACTGTTCTTATTCCAATACCCATGTCTCTGAATATTTTATTTAATTCTTATTTTTAGTACTGCTCAGTTATTGCTCGCCTGTTTCCACTGAGTTTAAGTATACACTGCCTGGCCCAGGGATTGAACTCACAATTACTATGTCATCAAATTCATGAATCAATCCACTAGAATATTTTCGTGTAGGACTTATATAATCTAGATGTATGGAAAAAGATGGCATCATTTTAAACTGAGTTCAGGAGAATATGGGTTAAAAAGTTAAGAATATTTTGAAAATATGAGGTCAGATAAAACAAAAACGTTTACATATTTAAAAACAACAGTATCTCCTTATATACATTGGTCATTTTAACAATAAGCATCTTGTAAAACAAAAGCTGACATTTAAAATATAAATGTGTAAGAGTGTGTGTGTGTATTTATGGGTTAATTTGTGTATATGTTATATGTGAGTGATTAAGAGAGAAAGTGTGGGTATGTGTGAGAGTGTGTATGTCTCAGTACACGTAAGGGAGTGTATGTGTGTGTTTAAGAGAGTGACTGTGTGTGTGTTTAAGAGAGTGACTGTGTGTGTGTGAAATAGAGGAAGAGAAAAATATTCTGTGTGTATCTGTGTGTGTGTGAAGTTATGTTTTAATTTCTGTATATATTATATGTGAGTAATTAAGGGAGACAGTGTTTGTATGTATGAGAGTGTGTGCTTGTATATGTATGTTTGTCCAAGTACATGTAAAGGAGAGTGTGTGTGTGTGTGTATGTGTGTGAGAGAGTGAGAGAGTGAGTGAGAGTGAGAGTGAGAGTGACTCTGTGTGTGTGGAAAACATATGAAGAGAGAGAAATTCTCTGTGTTTGTGCGTGTGTGCATAGATTTCCAAGAAGGCTAAAATGGTTAAGTTAAAATTTGAAAAACTGTGCAAAAAGTAAAAATTGATGGAATGCAATAAATGTCAAGGTGAAAAATAGAAGAGAAATATTCTATTATTTCTTAAGCTAGAAAAATAGATATTGGGTTGAAATATAGAGGCACAACTGGCCTCCAAGACAAATGACACTCTTCAGATTCTTTGGAAATATAAGAAACATTAATCAATAATCATTACTGGAGGCTACACTGCTCTCACCTCCTTGTTATTAGCGAGGTCACTGGGTATCAGTGAATAGAGTTCAGCTTTATAAAATGGCATCATCCCAAACAAAAAATTATTAAATATTGGTATTAAATTTCATAATTAAAGAATCAAATTTGGATTCATGAAGCATTAGTTTTTATTGTGGTTTTCAAAGGAGATTTGGGGATAAAATGTATTTCTTAAAAAAGAAGGATATAAGAATAATAAACAGGATATTATATATATATATATATTTATATATATATATATATATATATTTATATATATATATATAAGAATAATTACAAAAATAATATATATACAATAATATATATGATCACATCAATAATATATATACAATAGTATATAAGATCAGATTGTTCTGCTGTATTTAAGCATTGAACAAGATTCATTATTTTTTATAAATTTTACATTTTTAATTTTTATATACCAACAGGTATATAAAATAGTATTTACATTAAATAATACAATAATGTCTTCTTTCTTCTATCTTGGCCTGGCTTCAGAAACAAAGATTTATGAAGTGGGCTGTCCACATTGACTGCAGGCATGCTGATGGTTGACTAGGTTGATGCAGGACAGACAAGTCTGGCCACAGCGACTGCAATTAAAGGTCTGGTCTGGTATAGCTGCTGAGGCTTCCCAGTCCTCCTTCCTGCAGCATTCCTCCTTCAGGTTGGTCTTACAAGAGTTCTCAAAGGTGGAGACAGCCTGGTGGATGGTGTGGTGCCAGGCTTGATGGTCAGCAACAAATGTTGACCACTGGCAATGTGACAGGTACCAAGGGACTTCTTGTGGGAGTGCTTATAATGCTTCTTTGGTGCCCTTCTGTTAAGGTGGCCAAAATAATAATAATAATAATAATAATAAACACAACTACACACACACACACACACAATTTCCAGTTAGGAAAGTTCAAATTACTGCTTATAAACACATTCTGAACGATTTTTTCTTGATATATCATCTCTGCTCTGAAACGTAACCTAAAGTAAGCAATGACAACATCTTACATGAAATGGATTAAATCTGTCAAATATTTTAATATATTTTCTGTTTATGTTATTTTCATGGATGCAATATATTTGAGTAAATGTGCTGTTTTCAATTAAATAGTATTAATTACATTTACTGGCCTGAATTTTCAAGAAATTTTGTAGAATATATATATATATATATGTCATTCACAGTACTGTACTGTTGTATCACAGCTCCTCAGTGCAACTAGACACCTGAATGCTTTAAGCCAAGACTGAAACCTGACCGATTTGGTGTCAGTCAGAATTTCTATTGCTGAGCTATCATCATTCAGCAAAATGAAACAGCTAATTCTAGTGTATTGTTTTTACAAATATAAACAAATGCCAATCAGCCAGAGGGTTCCAATTCATTTTACTGAAGAGTTTTGCATTAGCTCAGGTGGCTGTTGTTTATAGTATCAGCTCATATATATATATATATTCAATCTCCACACATGCACCTGTCCACTTACAGATACTTATAGGTAGTTACTTCTTATAGTGTAGTCACTCATGGGGATGACGTGTTATTCCATTACATCAATAACTAGAAAACTAAAAATGTTTTTCATTTTTAAATATTAAAATAAAAAATTCCAAAGTTCCACCCCTTGTGTAGTTGAATTTGGAAAGCTGTAAATCAACAGTGAAAAAAATATTTCGAATTTACAAAGCTACTGTAAATGCATCCACAGATATTTTAAACTCTTGATCTCAGATGAGATTGAAAGTACTTGGGAAAATAAAAATTATTTGAAAGAAAATTTTGGAATTAATCAATTTTCTATAGCCACCAAGAAATTAATTCATGGACTTGAAAGGAAGAAAACTAAAATAGACATAATACGTCTAAATTATTTAAAGAAACATGCTTGAATGAAAATATGCTGCCTAAATATATATATATATATATATATATATATATATATATTTGAAATAAAAGATATATGACAAATTGGAAAAAGTTTTTGTCACACATTTCATCCATTAGGACTTCATCAACGAAGTCCTAATGGGTTAAAAGCATCACAAAAACTTGACTGGGTTCTCCTGCTTGTGTGGCATGGTGCAAAGTCCTGTTGCCAGATATAGGGTCTTCCAGCAGCCACCTTCCTGACCCAGGGCAGCACTACTTTCTCAAGGCATTTGATATAGGCCTCTGTGTTGAATCTGATGCCCTCACCAACAAATTTGGGAGTTCTTTTCTCATCAGAATGATCAGAGTGAGTTTTCCAAGCTGCTGTACCTTCGTAATTTAACTCTTTCTGTTCTCAGATTGACACCCAAACACTCTGAAATGTTCGTGTTGGAGCTTCTAGCATGAATGCCAAGCAGTACAGTGTGCCATTTCCACATTTCTGGTAGAGTGAATTGCATCATGGTGCTCTTTTTCTCACACATGGTACCCAGTTGACCCTACTATACTGTGTAGTCGACAAAATCAAAAACAAACAAAATTAAAAATATAAAATGGCGACAATTTACACATTGCACCCTGTATATAGGACTGGATTATGACCTTTTAGGCCCTTAGGCTAATGAAATTATGTGGCTTCCTTCAGATGAAGCCACCGTCTAAAAAGTCTGCACCTGTCTTGAATATTTTTACTCGTGATATATTTTAGTGACTTTTATATAGTTTGAACTTAACTTATTGCAAGTTCTTTAAATAAATTAGAATAACTATCTTTTGTTTGTCAATAAAAATATTCTTTAAGAAATACCATTATTGTACTATTTATTGCAAACCAAATTATCACATATTTTAATACAGCTGTAGTAAAAAAAGATTTTTATCATCAGCATTATAACAAGAAAACAATAAAAATAAATATGAATTTGTCACATTAATATCATTTCAGTTCATGAAACTATTAGTTATCTACTTGAAATATAATGAAACACCATGACACAAACTAGAACATTGTTTTCCTTGCTTTGCTTCCTGTAAAATCAAATAAATGAGTTTGTGGTACTGATATCATTTCAGATTATGAAACTATTTAGAAATTATAACATCTAGAAAATTCAAATCATTACTTTATAAAAGCTTGATGGGCCCTAGCCTATACTAGCCTAAAGGAAATCCTACCCTATATATATATTGGACTCTCCCGTCATATTTGA